GTCGATATGCAGTTTGTTCAGGAAGCTCGGTGTTGAACCCGTCAGTAGTACCGAACAATGAGATGGACTGGACGTAGTGCGAGAGTTGGTGCAATTTAGGAATATTGAAATGATCTCGAACTTCGAGTTCGCGCAGGATTTCTTTGTTGGCGTGAAATACCGAAAGGGCGCTCTCCAGATGATCAAGGGTGTCAACTGTGTGTATTCGAAGCTGCGCATAATAAGAAAAATCTAGAATAGCGCGTGCAACCACCAACACTCCACTGGTAAATATTAAAAAATGATTCTGTCAGTGCGAGCCTTGTTAAGCATGTTTGAAGCATACCTTGGTACTGCACCAGCAAGCAACCCTACAAAAACACGCTGCATCTGCTTGTGTTCTGTACCCGTCCATTGTTTCACCGTCGAGATTCCTTTTTGAAGTGCCGAAGACCGGATAATCCGGTATGGCTTTGAAGCGTGCGTCCATTTCAGCTTGACCAACGATATCAAGGCACCATTTAACCAAGTGATCTTTGAAGACCCTTGTGGAGTTGGTGTAGGAGGTCGGGTGTGAAGGCAAGGAAGATGTCTGTGTGTGGAAGGTCAGCCCAAAAAGGATGATAGACGGTGCGTAATCCATAGTCTTTGAATTCAGCTGGATGTTGACCATTTTGTCGCTTCTTCAATATCTCTTTTATCAATGGAGGGTCCCGCATCGGTGTACTCAGTGGATCACCTCTTTCATCCGCCGCAACCAGACATTTTGGGCAACGGTTCTCCTTGCAACATGCACCAGGCATTGTTCAGGGAAATCCGCCACATATGCTGCAAGGATCGGGTAAACTTGGCGGATCATCGAGTCAGCGCATACCATTTCAATGCCATTTTGTCCTGCAGCAATGAGCGGTTGCAGCAGGAGGGACATACAATGGTGGAAGAGCCGGTAACCAGCAAGGGAGCGTGTATCTGATGTAAAGCATTCGAGTTTTTCTGCAGGTAAGTACCCAATCAGGACTGTTGCTCGTGCTGACAGTTGTCGCCTTTTTTCTTTGGCAATGTTGCCGATTGAGAGGTATATAGGCCACGCAGATTTGTCACCTCGGAACTGTGACAAACATGTCTTGTCTGAAGCAAGAATGATAGGTGCTATGGTCGCTCCTTTCGGTAACTGTTTCTGGACGTTGTAGGTCAGTCTTTGCTTAACTTTTTGGATCGCATACTCACTTGCTTTTCCCCCCACCAATCTGCAGTCCACATGTCACCAATCACTCGGTTGAGTCCCGCAGAGTCTGTGTATGCTTGTGCAGGTGCGTACACCATGTGATCCTTGAATTGAGGATTTCCGATCAGGTCTTTGATGCACTCCACAGGATCACGCATCCAAAGCTCGACATCTTCATGCAATGGTTCACCCTTCTCGTCTGTTTGGTTTCCCCGGACACTGATCTTCTTGCAGCTCCAGGCAGCTCCATGCGGAAGTTCATCGACCTTCTGGAGGAACGATCGGTTGTTGTGGAAGGATGGTTGCATTCGGTTTCGTGTCTGTCACACCAGTAAGTCCAATTCTTTCAGCGGTCAATGTGTAACTTACTATCGGCAACTTTAGAAAATCATTGGTTCGGGTCTGGCCCAGACTTTTAACGAGCCACTCTGCGAGTCCCCATTCTTCCCTGGCGACTGAAATCAATCATTTTGCAGAGGAGATGAAGACAACAGGGTACGTACTCATCGCAAAAAGGTGCCCACTCGTCCTCACCCATGCTTTTTTTATACTTCCGATAGCTCTCAAAACCAGTTTCTCCCTCCCGCAGAGTCCGTCCACCATCAGGGCATTCCTTGAAATATCGCCCACTATTTGTTCTCACAGCATCTTCATCAGAAACCTCCTCGATGGTCACCCTCCGACTTTTCAGCGCTGGTGGGTTGCCTTGATCAGCATCGGAGGACTTGGAACGTGAGCGACGAAGCGGCAGGCCAAATGAGCTGCCAACATCATCGTAAGCAAAGTCCACTTGTGGGCCATCTTCATCATAGGTGGCCTCAGTTTCTTCGATCGTTAACTCCCATGCCCTTCTACATTCAGGGCGGCCAGTTATGTGTCTCTTGACACCACCCCTTGTAGGGAACTCCTTACCACAAAATACGCAGCACTGGGGCATGGTTGGTGAATGTTTCGAGTGAGTGTTTCGAGTGAGTGTTTCGATTCTGATTTGTAATGTACCTACTTAAAATAATTTTCATGCGCCCTGGCCTGGACTCAATCTAGGCACACTGAGAACGCAGTCAGTTATGGAGACTAGCTATCCATGTTGGTTTTGTTGATTGGGAGGACGATCGATGGGGTGCAGTGGACGGCTCTCCCAAGAACCCACCTGAACGCAATCCCAATGGTTTTGTTGATTGGAAGGACGATCCATGGGGTGCAGTGGACGGCTCTCCCAAGAACCCACCTGAACGCAATCGCTTATGGAGACTAGCTCCCAGCTCTCCCAAGAAACCACATGAACACAGTCGGTTATGGAGACTAGCTCCCGGCTCTTCCAAGAACCCACCTGAACGCAATCGCTTATGGAGACTAGCTCCGTTGTTTCACCAATATCGGTAGGCTCTCCTCATCACAAGGTTCAAGTTTATTTTCCTGGCACAACTCCATAGCATTTCTGACATGTGCCGTAAATTTTTACCAGATGACTGTACCTTCTAGTTGCCACGCTACACTAGTTTCAAAATACCATGGGCGGCCAGAAGCAATTCTAAAAGTTGCACCCTTCGCCTCCTCACAACGCTTCACTTCTGCATCCCAGCGCTCACTAACGAGTCTTCGCAAGCTCGCTTGTAAGAGGCTAGGAGTGCCAGTGCCTGGTACTAATTCTATTAGTTGCAATTTTTTGGCGTTCTCGCAGGCCTTCACTTCTGCCTCCCAGCGCTCCAAAATGAGCTTGCAAGTATATTTGGGAAACCAGATGGGGCCTGGAGTCTGACGAAATGGAGGGCGCGGGAACATGGGGCCTGTGTCAGGCTCTTCGAGCTTTGGCCTGCAGGCCACTGGTAAGTACATTGCGATAATTGGGAGGGGCAATGGGATAACTGACCTTTTGATCTCGAGTTCCCGTCTTTACGAGCAGCGTCTTTGTGACCGGCAGATGGTGACATTGTGCTGGAGGATTCGTCAGAGTGTGGTGAGTGTTTGAAGCAAGCTTTGTACCGTTTTTTTAACATTGAGGGTATCCATGACAGTGAAAAAATATTGTGACGGTACGCTCAAATCTTTTTATCCTTTCTTTCATTAAACACACAGCTTTTAGCCAAACGAGCCCTGGAATCAACGAACAATCAAGGTTCAATTGTGAGTTGTTTGTATGTTTTATGGTCTTATATATTTTGCTAACGCTAATCACACCTTGTGCTCTAGTGACCATGGCACCTCATACTAAGGCTGCCTCCAAGCAGCAAAAATTTAAGCCCACCTCGTCAATGCCTGCAGCACCGCTGAATGCGCGCACTACCTCGTCAATGCCTGCAGCACCACCGAGTGTGCGCACCGCAAGCGGTCGAGAGCGTTGACCAACTGAAAAAGAATCCTACCGTTGTAAGTACTACTAAAATATTGTATTTTACTCGCTCATGATCCTCTATAGTTTCTGAATCTCAACATATTACCCGTCGTCAAGAAGTCAAGGAACAGAAGTCGGAAAAGCAGAAGAAAAAGGCACTGAAGGCCGCCTATCAAGACCGTCCCGACAACTTTGAGCAAGAGCCTTCGGAGCTGCATAGCGACATCGACAGGCAAGAAGATATGATGGTCTGAGCTTTTTTCTTCTTTCCTAACTTAAACGAGCCACTGACCATACTTTATTCAGTTCTCCGATCACAGCATCAAGACAAAGTTGTCAAACACTAGTGCCCTGAAGTTCAGCGCAGGCAAAATTCCCCCGAGATGGCGCCACAGCAACACCAGCGCACACATAGTGCCTACTAATACTGACCGGAACACGAAAGGAAAAAAGGGTATGTGTTTTCTATCAATATTAGCCTGACTATCCTAATATCCCTCTGTTTGACTTTATCCAGCACCACGAAGCAACTTGAATGCGGCCAATGCCCATCTCAATGATGCTCCAGACGACACTCCTACCTTGGACGCTGATGACGATGACAGGTCTGAGTCAACCGACCTGGATGACGACAACGATGACGACAACACTGGTGAACCATTGCCAATAGCTCGGGGGACCAAGCGACAATTCAACATGTCCTTAGAAGATGTCCTGATAGTCCCGAAGGTCAAGAAAAACTCGGACGGTTCGCGTCAACGTGTCAAAGCCAGCGACTTTGACAACATCTCCAAAGAGATTCTCACAACGGCCTGCTCAATTTTTCGATGTCTGATTGTCACACGAGCCCCGTTTCCTGATTCTGTCGCCGTCGAGACAAATTTGGCCAAAGAGGCCTGGCACGAGGCATGCAAAATTAAAGATATTGATGTCAAAATAACACCTTTAGCAGTCAAAATGGTAAGCAATCTGTTCATACCACGCTCTGGGTCTGATTGATATGAAGCTCTTAAATCGCACATCACATGTGCGAGGTGAACTCAAAACCAAGATGCGCCTGCTGACTAGTTCTTTTTATGGTTTCCGGGCAAGTAATTCCATGCAGGTGATGCAACAGAACCGAGATCGGGCAGAGTCGTTGAAAGCCGATTCAGCCTTTATATTCAAGGTACGCAGATGACAATCTATATTACTGTGTGCTGACATTGGATAATAGGACTGGTCGTCAAAGAAGGGAGTCTACAAAACCGAATTGCTCCAAGAGGGCATCAACCTCATGTGGTTCTCAAATCGGAACGACGAGGGCCTCATCTACCATAAGTACTTCAATCCCTTTCCTGTTAGAGCTCTCGCACTCGTGCTTACAGCGGTGAGCTTATTTTGTATTCAAGTTCTTATGAGGGCACTAACAATGTCTTATTCATAGATCGAATGTTGTATCGACGAGTGGCTGCCAGGCATCAAAGAAGACATCAAGTTCACATCCGCTACATATGGAGCTGTCTACAATAATCATTTGGGCTCACTGCTGCGCTTTGATGAGCGCACTGCACCTTACAAACTTCTCGAGAGAATCTGTACCAATCTGCATGATGTAGGCCGGTATGTTTTGACTTACTATTACTCTAGTATTCTAACATTCATGCTTCGAAGTTTCATGCAGGTGTTGAATCACTCGGTCTGTCATCGGCTAGTACTACATCCCGGGTCCACACTGAGAACAAGGCCTTTGAAGACGCCATTCGAGAGTACCAGCTGGAGGAGCAGGATGACGCAGAGGCTCCGAGTCGTAGCCAGAGTGGTGCACCCTTGGCAGCACTTTCAAGATGTTCCCACATACCGTCAGACCCTATTATTATGTAGCAAATATATAGTCTAAGAGACCCCCTCCTCCAGGAGGCTTCGCCCTAGTTTTCCAAGGATGTGTGGCCATCCCTCGAGAGCATGTAACCAGAGCCTCATCACAGAGGGTAAGCGCAACCTCCTGGTATGTTCCCTGGAGAGCCTCAACATAGCAGCCTCTCCAGATGCTCACTGCCTGCCTCCCCATGTCAGCATCTCCAGATGTCAGCAAGTGTGATAGCGGATGTGTTCTGGAGCCTCTCCGTATCTGTATGTTATCCATACTTCCATACTTCCATATTCCAGTTTGAATGTTTTATTCCATTTCTGCACCCAATCCTCCGTGATCGTGATTGTCTTGAGGAGTCAAACGAGGCCTGATCACATACAAAACATTGCATTGGCTGATACTATGGTAGATACAAAGGACACGGTAGATACGTCAACGTTCGACAGCAAGCACGACAACCAAAAATGACGAAACAACTCAATATATACGCGGCCGAGGAAGTCACCTGAATGCAAAAAATGAGGCCTGCGAGCCTAAGGAGTTCGTCCTCAATCCTCCTGGTCCTTGGGGTACTCGTTAGGATACTCACGCCCATACCCATGCTGGTATCTGCCTTGTGGACCAAAATATGCACTGCTGGGAGGGTGCCAATAAGTCTCGACATAACCGTCGTATCCATCGTGAGAATTGTGGTAGGGAGCATCATGGTAATCACCGTGATACTGAGGCTGAGGACCATGGGGGGGCTGGGGGGCATGAGCCATACGGGAGTCATGGTAATATTCGGGCGGCGGGTAACGAGCAAAGCCTTGTCCATAGCGCGATGGCATTGGACCCCTTGGGCGTGGACCATACATCCCTGGTCTCATGTCTGCATCGTGCGCCCGCGTCATGGAGTGACTCTCGGCATTAAAGTCTCCGTCGGTAGGTGCAGCCGCCATCTCGGATTCGGTACGCCGCTCATGATGGGATCATGGCATCCCCATGACAGGCTCCCTGCGCCCAATGGGTTGGTCGTGAATTGTCGCAGGCTGCAGGGATGGAGGTTGCATGAGAGGCGACTTAGCTGCTGGCCCAAGAGATTCCCCGCCTGCAGGGATGGAGGTCGCACAACAGGCGACTTAGAAGCTGGTGCGAGAGATCCTGCACGCACGATGTTGTCCGGGAATAAGTCTACCGAAGCATGACGAGTTGGCGAGGGAGGCAAGGGACGTGTGGGGAGGCTGTTGGTAGCATCAGCATTGCTCGAGCGAGTCTCTGCTGCAGCTTTGTTGACGGCACTACCGTCAGGAGCATCGACGTCATTATCCACGATGGGATCGACTGCAGTCACAGGATGCTCTAAGGATCGTGTCAGTCAATGGAAATTGTAACAATGTAGTCAACAAATTCATACCTTGAGCTGACGAACCATTAAGCAGACGTTTAGCAGGTTTGGCTACAATATACATCAGTCGCCTTATAGAAGCAAATGCAAGAGGAACAAACATACCTCATACATCTCGAATATGTTCATCACCGGAGGACTCAGCAGTCCCCGACGGTGCTCTCCTCTCAGGCACCTTGGGTTTAGGCCTCACAGGTACCTTACCTTTCATCTTCTTTGCTGAGACTGCCTTCTCTGCAGGCGCAACAGACGGTGACCTCTTTTGGATGCTCGCGAGGCGCCTTCGGATTTCGCCTTCCGCTTCTTGGAGGAAACATCATCTTGGTAATCGGAGTCGAGAACCACTGATTCCTCCAGGTTTTCATC